CCAGTGTTGGAGCATCCACAACTTCTGAAGGCAAGTCGTTCCACTGATCAATTGTCCTAGTTGTCAGGAAATTCCTCCTGAGTTCTAAGTTGCTTCTCTCCTTGATTCATTTCCACCTATTGCTTCTTGTCCTGCCCTCGGGGGCTTTGGAGAATAGCTTGACTCCCTCTTCTTTGGGGCAGCCCCTGAGATTTTGGAAGACTGTTAGCATGTCTTCCCTAGTCCTTCTCTTTGTCAAACTAGAGGCCAAACCCAGAGCAGCCTACAGCATTTTGGCTGATCTCAAACAGCTAAGCAGATTTTACTTTGGTGGCTCTTTGGATGGGAGAACATGAAAAAAAAAAAAAAAATACCAGTGCCATTGTAGGCCAGGTGTCGCTCTTGAAAAATAGACCATGAGTAATTATTTTGTATAATTGGCTTGAAAACATAACTAGGGGCATAACTAGAACATCACTGGAAATTGAGCTGACTCCAAGGAGATTTTCTTTCATGTTCTCTAGATCAGCGTAAATGCTTTTTACTATCCAAGCCATCCAGTTCACACACACCCCCGCAGATTACTCACTAATACATTGGGAAGAGAGCGAGCTGCCTGGAGGGAAAAAAATTAACTGGAGATTTCCCAGCTTGTATTTCTGCCAAGCGTCACAAGCCTGGGTTGGTATCAGCTCCGCAGATCAGTTATTTTCTCTTTGCTCCAAGTAGTAAACCCAGTTTAATAGCAGTTAACGCCTACAGTTAACCAATTGTCTCATCTCTGGAATCATGGAAACGTTTTCCTGTTTGTTTGTTTTTCTCCTATCGTTGATGAAAGCTCTGGAGAATTTGGGGCCTCCACTTCTGATGAACTCCTAGCAAATCTCTTTAACCATCATGAAGACAAGAGTCCATAACAATTTTTTTTAAAAAATCAATGGAAGGATTGGCAAATAAGACGTTTATAAGCAATGGTATTAGAATGGGAATGGGAATGGGAATGGGAATGGAATGGAATGGAATAGAATAGAATAGAATAGAATAGAATAGAATAGAATAGAATAGAACAGAACAGAATAGAATATATAATGGAATGAAGAATAAAATAGAACAGAACAGAACAAGGAAAGAATAGAATAAGTAAAGATTAGAATAGAATGCAGAATAGAAGAGTTGGAAGGGACTTTGGAGGTCTTCTAGTCCAACCCCCTGCTTAGGCAGGAACCCTTATCGTATTTCAGACAAATGTCTATCCAGTCTCTTCTTAAAGACCTCCAGTGCTGGAGCATCCACAACTTCTGGAGGTAAATCGTTCCACTGCTGAATTGTTCTCACTATCAATAATTTTCTCCTTAGTTCTAGGTTGCTTCTCTCCTGGATTAGTTTCCATCCATTGCTTCTTGCCTTGCCTTCAGAAGCTTGGGGAAAGTTGACTCCCTCTTCTTTGGGGCAGCCCCTGAGATATTGGAAGACTGCTATCGTGTTCCCCTCTAGTCCTTCTCTTCATTAAGCTAGATAGCAACCATTCTTTGTATTTCAGCCTCCAGTCCCCTAATCCTCTTCGTTGCTCTTCTCTGCACTCTTTTCTAGAATCTCAACGTCTTTTTTACATCAGGGCGACCAAAACTGGATTCAGGATTCCAAGTGTGGCCTTACCAAGGCATGATCAAGAGGTATTAATACTTCACGTGATCTTGATTCTACCCCTATTGCAGAACTATGCTTGAGTAACATTTTCTAATAATTCATAGATTCCTTGGGAATTTCGTGATTTCTTCCCAGGGATTGAAAGCAACACACTTTCATTTAAACAGTTTGTTTGTGTACATCAGGGGTCTTCTAACTTGACAGCTTTAAGACTTATGGACTTCAACTCCCAGAATTCCTCCTCTAGTCATGTAACTCAGGAATTCTGGGAGTTGAAGTCCACAAGTCTTAAACTTGGCAACTTTGAAGACCCTTGGTGTACATGATGCACTTTGGTTAGTTTTGTAGAACACAATGTTTTACCAAAGTTTGTAAGTAAATTAGCTGAACTCGTGGAAACTCAGCCTTGAGCTGAAGAGAACCTTAATAAATGCATGTTGTTAAATAAGGTGGATTACTACTTACTCTTACCGCTTACTGTTAAATAAAGGCTTACAATGCTGTCCAGGGTTATGCATTTTTTATTTTAATTTTGAAGATAATTTCGTTTAAACCCAGGCCTACTATAATGTAAAAGGATATGTTCCTTCACCACTGCGCCAATTATCCTCTTGGTGCCAATAAGACTCTGTGTAAAAATATCCATTTACTAATGGCTTCAGGAGGAAAAAACATTTACGATTTTCTCCCATTCTGAACTGGCATCTCCCAGTTCAGAATGGAAACTCCTTTTACTAAAATGCTTTCCAAAAATTGCTTTTCCATAAAGGTAGAATGCAGAATCACAAATCCAGATATAAAAGATTTTTTTTCTGTCTTTCCTTCCTCCCAATCTTTTCTTTCTTTTTTCTTCCTTCCTTCCCTGGCTTTTCTTCCTATTTTTCTTTTTTCTTCCATCTTTCCTTCCTTCCTTCCTCCCGCTTTCTTTTTCCTTTCTTCCTTCTGTCTTTGTACTGATTTCCTTCCTTCCTCTTTTCCTTCCTTGATAGTAATCATAGACATCAATATACTTTCGCCCTTACCATATGTGGTGGACTTGTGAGGATGCTAGAAAATACTGGACTAAAATCCGCATGCGGTTGGAAAAAATGACAAAGAAACACATAGATTTGAAACCGGAGTTTTTTTTATTGGGAATCTTACCAGATGCATACAGCAAAGATTTGAAATATCTGATTGTAAATGTATTAACTGCGGCTAGGATTGTATTTGCTAAAAATTGGAAAAATGAGAAAATTCCATTGCAGGAAGAAATCGTTAAGAAAATATTGGAATGTGCTGAGATGAGATTGACATTTGAAATTAGAGAGCAAGAAGATAAACAATATTATAAAATTTGGGACCTTTTCTATCAATGGTTGGATGATAAAATACAATAATAGAATATTTAGAATGTTAGATAATAAGGAATATCTTTGTTTTTTCCTTTTTTTTCCCTGTTATTTGACAACATATCTATAAAGTGTTTTTTAGGATAGATTTGGTATGATTATATGATTTGTTATAGAATAAATTACCTAAATTATAGTTATCTCATAAAGTATGAATGAATAAAATTATAGTCAAATGATTTTTTAATAATGATATGAGGACATGTAAGTTTGGATTGATAATAAGAGTTATTATGTAATGTAACCGTAATTGAGACTACGAAATGAATGCACAAAACTGATGAACCGACACACTGCTTGTATATATGTATGGAAGAGCTGATGTTTTTATGTTTTGTTTGTTTTTTAAAAAACCAATAAAATTGTTTTCAAAAAAAAAATACTTTCGCCCTGTTTGCTGAATGAATAAGAGCTTTGGGAATTATTTTGATTGAAGAAGATAGCACCATTTAAAATATTTCCTTATTTTGCTAGTTGGATTGATTTAGCTCTAGAGAGATGACACAGAACTTTCCCTTCGACCTTCCTCATCACCGCCATAAGAACCATGGGATTTCGGTTGTGGGCTGGAAGTGACCAGCCCCAAATCACCTTTCCACTGCTGAAGGGAGAGTATCCAGCCACCGTTCAACACCTTCATTGTTACATCATTATGAACTTGAGTTCCAATGAATCCAAGGGCTGCTTCAATAAGGTTATGTCCATATGTGGTTATTATCAAAAATGATAATATTCTACTAACTGCAGCTAGAATTGTATTTGCACAAAATTGGAAAAGAGATCCCTACTGATGAGAATGAGATCAGGAAAATATTAGAATACGCAAAAATGAATAGACTAACGTTTGCAATTAAATGAAGGAACCAACTGAGTATTATATGACAGGGTTATTTTATCGATGGTTCAGAAAATAGATGTGGAAGTTAGAAACAAAAGACTAGCAAAATATAGAAAACTAGCTCGATCCCCGTGCTTTGCTATGAAACTATGTGGTTGGGCTTAGTTTTTGGAGAGGAAAATAAAGGGGTGGGGGGGAATTCTGCCTCTTCCTACCAGCATCCAATCAGTATTCATCTGGATAGCATCCTGTCAGTGTGAGAGTGTGTTGAGGGCTGTTTGGAAACTGAAACAATATTTGCTGTGTGAGCAAGGAGATGGCAAAGAGCCTGGGCGTGGCCTAGCTCAACTGTTTTGTACTAAAGCTGCTTGGTGCTGTGAAACTAAAACTGAAACTCCTCTCCTCTGCTTGTGTTTTGCATTTGGGACAGATTTCTTTTCAGGTGGGGAGGGGGAGTAGAACTCCTTAGCATCAGAGCATGTTATATGATAATAATAATACAGGAAATACTAAATAATCTGATGGTCATTTCAAAAAATCCTTTCTTAGTGAGCCCCTAGAAGCCAAGAGGAACGTATGTGCCAAATTTGAAGTTGGTAGGCTTTATGGTTCTGGAGATTTTGTGATGATGCATGAGGGGTATTTCACTTTTACAGATAGATAGATAGATAGATAGATAGATAGATAGATAGATAGATAGATAGATAGATAGATATAGATATAGATATAGATATAGATATAGATATAGATATATAGATATGTTAATAGAATTAAATAAGATGAGGATTGTTATAATAATTAGACATATTACATATTTTACCGTAGTATTAAAATAAGAATAGAGAATATCAATGTAATGAATATGGGTATAAATTTTAATTGTTATTGCACAAAGTATTTGTACCCAGATGACACACAGTTTAAATGGAAGATGGATTGTTTGTATTAAAAATAAAATACTCTATTTAAAAATGATAATATTCCAAAAGGGGCCTTCAAGATAATGACTACTTACCATTTTTTAAGGTGTCTAGTTTGACCTTCAGGTCTGAAATTATCCAGCCAAACTGGACACCATTGGAGACACAGAAAGTTGGCAAGTTCCCACACCAGGTTTTCAAAAACCACAACCAAAAGCCATACCCTTTAAACTTTCAAACAAGGTTTATTAAGCTTTCCATCATCCCCCTGATACCCTGATGCACCTGAATGTTTTGTTTCAACTGGAAAGGATCGTGGTCAGATCTTCAAATTTCAGACCTGGCCTTTCATGGACCCAGCAGAACAAAGACGGAAGGAGTCGGCGGTATCTGAAGAGCAGACGGAAAGAGCTACTAGGAGTTGGGACTTTACGCTGAGGGTATTTGGGAGAAATTGAGAAACCTGGCAGAGATACGGGGCCACATTTGTGTGGCAATATTCGCATTTGCAACAAAAAGAGAAAGGATGCTTTATTCTCCACGGTCTGAAGGTTGCACTTTGATCTTCCTGATGGCGTCAAGGACAGCTTCGAGGCTGACTTTGTCTCCAAATTCTTTCTCACGGTGTTCCAAGAGAACCCCCTGAAAAAAAAAAAAAAAAGATACAGAGCTCAGGAGAAGCTTTTTCACCCCAAAACAGCAATCAGAAAACTCTTTTACCATCTCCACAATTTACTTAGTTAGCCTCTTCTTGGCTTGAGAAGAATTTTACACTGAGATTTTCAAATTTTAAAAACCATTGCTATTATCGACTTCCAGTTTCCCGTGGTAATTTTTACAAAATTAAATAGGAATCTGGTTTCAGGTGTTCCTTATTCTTCACATTCTGCCACACAAGAGACAAGATTTATTATATCACCAAAATAACAATGAAAAGAAATGGAAACACACAAACACACTCAGAGAGAGAAATAGACAGAAAGAGGAGAGGGAGGGAGAAAAATAGAAGAGAAAGAGAGACAGAAGGAGAAAAAGAAAGTGAGAGAGACAGAAAGAGAAAGGAGAAAAAGAGGGAGGTAGAAAGAAGGGAGAGAGAGCAAGAGAAATAGAAGAGAAGGAGAGAGAGAAAGAGGAGACAAGGCAAAAAGAAAGCAAGAGGGAGTAGAGAAAGAGACAAAGAAAAAGGCAGAAAGAAAAGGAGAAAAATAGAAAGAGGGAAAGAGAAGGGAGAGAGAGTGAGAAACACAGAAGAGAAAGGAGACAGAAAGAAACAGAAGGGAAGAGAGTGTATGTCTGATGTGTGCGTGTGTGTGTGAGAGAGAGAGGGAGGGAGGGAAAGTGTGTTTCTGGTGTGTCTGTGTGTGTGTGAGAGGGAAAGTATATGTATGTGTATGTGTGTCCGTGTACGAGAGAGATGGAGGGAGGGAAAGTATGTTTTTACTGTGTGTGTGTGTGAGAGAGAGAGAGAAACAGGAGAGAGAGAAAGGAGTGGGGGGAAAGTGTGTGTGTGTGTGAGAGAGAGAGATATGGAGGGAGGGAAAGTGTGTTTCTAGTGTGTGTGTGAGAGAAAGAGGAGAGAGAACAAGTGGGAGGGAAAGTGTGTGTGTGTGTGAGAGAGAGAGAGAGAGAGAGAAAGAGGGAGGGAAAGTGTGTGTATGTGCTTCTAGTGTCTGTGTGTGTGTGTGTGTGTGAGAGAGAGAGAGAGAGTGAGAGAGAGAGAGAGGCAGGGAGAGAGAGAGAGGGAGGGAGGGAAAGTGTGTGTATGTGTATGTGTATGCAAGAGAGATGGAGGGACGGAAAGTGTGCTTCTAGTGTGTGTGTGTGTGAGAGAGAGAGAGAGAGACAAGAGAGAGAGAGATCCTTCAATCCAGAATAAAAAGCCAATTGCCAAGGTCCGTTTTCATGGGCTGAAAGCCTGCAGAGAGAAGCGAGGCTCCCAGGACGGACCCGGGATATCCCTGCCGTTCTCCGCTCTTCTACCTGTTTCCCGGGGCCGATCACAAAAACCCCACCCAGGATCACGCCTTCTCCATCGATGTTGCCGGTGTAGCCGCTCCTCCAGGCGCGCCAGAAGTTCCTCCAGACGTTCCAGCGGAAAAGAGCCAGGAGCAGCATTGTTCTCCTTTGAGGGCCATAGAATTTTCTCTGGGAAATGGGGACAAGAAGGAACTCGGCTGCAAAAGGAGAAGCCTTCCCAGGGAGAAGACCTCCTAAAATAAGACCCGGTGATCTTGGAAAAGGGAGGCGGGATCCAACTTCATCAGTAGAGTGGATACCATCGACTTACGAACCCCCCCCCCGCAAATTCCCGCTACTAAGCGAGACAGTGGTTAACTGAGTTTTGTCCCATTTTACGACCTTCCCTGCCAGGGTTAAGCATTAAGCGAATCACAGCGGTTGTTCAGTGAGTCACACGGTTCTTAAGTGAATCTTGGCTTCCCCGTGGACTGGACTTGTCGGAAAGTCACAAAAGGGGATTGCGCGACCCACCCACCCACCCCCGGGCTACTGCAACTGTCATAAGTAAGAGTCGATTGACTAGTGCCTGAATTGTGATCAGGAGAGCATGGGGAAGCTGCAAAGGTCGTTAAGTGTGAAAAACAGTTAGCAAGACATTTTTTCAGTGTCGTAAGTTCGAACGGTCACTAAACAAACTGTTCTAAGTCAAGGACAACTGAGTTTCCCTGAAAATAAGACCCAACAGGAAGATAAGCCCTAGTGTGATTTTTTCAGGACGCAGATTGTTGGGGGCAACAGGCTGACTCTGTAAACCACTTAGAGAGGGCTGTAAAGCACTGTGAAGCGGTATATAAGGCTAAGTGCTATTGCTATCTATCCTTCCTTCCTCCCTCCCTCCCCCTCTCCCTCCTTTCTTCCTTCCTTCCTTCCTCCCCCTCTCCCTTCCTTCCTTCCCTCCCTCCCTCCCAGCAGTTAGAATGCAGTACCCAGATTGTTGGGGGCAAGAGGCTGATTCTGTAAACTGCTTAGAGAGGGCTGTGAAAGCTCTGTGAAGCTATACATAAGGCTAAGTGCTATTGCTATCCTTCCTTCCTTCCTTCCTTCCTCCCTCCCTCCTTCCTTCCTTCCTTCCTTCCTAAGGTTGACTCAGCCTTCTACCCTTCCGAGGTGGGTAAAATGAGGACCCAGATTGTTGTCCTTCCTTCCTTCCTTCCTTCCTTTCCTTCCTTCCCTCCCTCCTTCCCTCCCAGAAGTTAGAATGAAGAACCCAGATTATTGGGGGCAAGAGGCTGATTCTGTAAACTGCTTAGAGAGGGCTGTGAAAGCTCCGTGAAGCGGTACATCAGCCTAACTGTTATTGCTATTGCCAAGAATCCTGCAATGGAGACGCCCATTGTCTTCCTCCTTGAGATGTATCTGCGAGGCATCCCAACCAACCCTCCCAAGATAAGCACTGCCACGTTCAGTTAACTCTCCCCGCCCCCCCCCCCCCTTGATTTAATGTCATTCCTTGAACATTTGAGAAGAAGGGATGACTCCCTGGGGAACACGCTTCCATTTCTAGAGAAGATGAAAAGGGCAGGCGGGGCGAAACAGCCGCTCTTAATCTTTCTTTGTTGATCTAAGCGTTTAATAGGGGGGATCCTGCCTGAGCAAACCAACCGTTCCAAGGTGAAGCGTACTCCCTTCCGTGACCATTCACGACACAACAGGCAAAATCCGATTAACCTCTTAAGGCGCAGCTCCGCGGGGCTAATTTCCAGGCCAGCCGCTTCTTTCTGCAAACCTCTTTATTTGTAGCTCACCTGATGGGATCCCTATTCGAGACTTAATGGGAAACCGCAGGCCCAGAAAAATCCATCTCACAAGATGTCTTCACGTTAAAAATCAACAAGTAGTCGGGTTCTTGTTGCAGAAGGAGCCTTCCTTTCCCCCAAATCTTTTGAAATTGCTGATCTACTTTTTCTCTCAATATATTTTCTCCCTAAGCCGTGGTGGGATTCATTATTATTTTTTTACTACCAGTTCTGATGGGCGTGGCTTGGTGGGCGTGGCAGGGGAAGTTTACTGCAAAATCCCCCTCCCCACCCCACTAACCTGCTTTCCAGCTCCGTTCTCCTGTGCAAGGCAACCAAAGGAGACCCAGCCGATCAGCTGGGACTCGATGGGAGGCAGAGAAGAGATGGGGTTGGCGGGGCAAGTCAGAGGTGGGATTTGCTGGTTCTCCGAACCATTCAAAATTTCTGCTCCTGGTTCTGCAGAACTGGTCGGAACCGGCTGAATGCCACCTCTGTTCGACGGGTTATCTCCTCCTTCTTAATTTATTTCACACACACACAAAAAAAATCCGACCTACCTTTTCATCCAGAAATATCTCTCCCTTGAAGTACGGCTGGAAGTCGGCCACCTCCGTCCCAATGTTCTCTTTCACCACAGCATAAAGAGGGACCCCTACCTGGTCGAGTTGGGGCTTCAGAGAGGACAGCTCAGCGGCCTCCTACCAAGGGAAGGACAGGCTGAGTCAACCCTCACCCAACCAAACTGCAATAGATCTATTGAAATAGATGCTTATCTTCCACGTACGGCCACAAGCAAGCCCCACATTTCTCTCATTAAGCAAGACATTGGTTCAGTCAATTTTGCTCCATTTTATGTCCTTCCTTGCCTAGGTTCTTAAGTGAATCACTGCAGTCGGTCAGTTTAGTTAGCCAGTCGTGAAGCGAATCTTGCTTCCCTACTGCTTATCGAAAAGGTCACCAAAAGAGATCGCAGGATCTCGGGACACAACAACGGTCGTAACGGTGAGCCAATGGAGAAGCATCTGAATTCTGATCACGTGATCGTGGGGGTGCTGGGAAGGTCATAACTGTGAAAAAGGGTCACAAGTCACTTCTTTCAGCACCGTTGTAAAACGCCAGCCAGGGGCTAAGGATCGACGGAGACCCAGATTGTTGGGGACCAGAGGCTGACACCATAAACCACTTAGAGAGGGCTGTAAAGCACTGTGAAGCGGTATATAAGTCTGTATTGCTTTCCTGCTTTCCTTCCTTCCTTCCTTCCTTCCTTCCATGGTGCAGTTAGACTGCAGTATTGCAGGCCAACTCTGCCCATTGCCAATAGTTCAATCCTGACTGGCTCCAGGTTGACTGAGCCTTCCCACCTTTCGAGGTGGGTAAAATGAGGACCCAGATTGTTGGGGGCAAGAGGCTGACTTTGTAAACCGCTTAGAGGGAGCCGGAAAGCACTGTGAAGTGGTATATAAGTCTATGTGCTGTTGCTATTGCTGTCTTCCCATGGGAAATTGCTGCCTCGTCCTGTTTGAGGGATATTTGAACCAAGTGAAAAGTTCCAATTTCTCAAGGGTTTTCTGAATGTGAAGAGGTCTGGAAGATGCAAATGTCTGCAAAGTTAACTGAATTTATCTTCTTCCCCGAAGGAATGTTGGTTTGGGAAGAGCTGGGTTACAACAAGTTTAGCTTCCCTTTCTGAGGGTTTTTTTTTTTTTTTTGTATACTAAACTTTCCATATCAACCTCAAATTCCTCCTCCTTTGATCAACTAGATACCTAACTATTGTTCTGCACCTTGGAAGCTTCTAATTTACATCTTTGAAAGTAGCATGAAACAGCCAACAACGGAGAGACTTCCTCAATAAAGGCTAAAACACGGAAGCTAAAATTCATCCCGCCTTTATTGCCAATGCTATGCTGGCAAATGCTTCTGGTTGAAATCCAAGGCACATGTACCAAATTAGAAAAGCTACTGTAGGGATTATGCCCACTATGCTATACCACCTTCTGTGCAAGGTAGGAAGAATTTTGCTGGATTTGAAAACTAAGCTGGGTTAAACCTGCTTAATATTTGGTCTTCTGGAAGGCCTTGAAGACATGGCTGTAGCAAGTGAGGGTGGGGCACTTTGGAGGTGGCTAATAGCAGTAGCCCTTAGACTTATATACCGCTTCACAGTGCTTTACAGCCCTCTCAAAGTGGTTTACGGAGTCAGCCTCTTGCTCCCAACAATCTGGGTCCTCCTTTTACCCACCTCCGAAGGATGGAAGGCTGAGTCAACCTTGAGCCGGTCAGGATTGAACTCCTGGCAGTGGGCAGAGTTAGCCCGCAATGCTGCATTCTAACCACTGTGCCCCCGTGGCTCTTAATGGCTCTACTCTACTCTTAATGTTCTCTACTAGAACAGAGAACATCCTACCCTCCATCCTGTGTGCACTTTGCTCCCAATTCCTCTCTATCCTGTTTAGTTTTAATTGCATTTTTAATTTTAAGATTTTTTAAAAATCATTTTCATGTTTTATAGGGCATTGTCTGTAAGCCGCCTTTGGCGTACACGTTTAATACATAAAGGAGAGAAACCACCACAAAATTCCAGAGTTGTTGGGTTTAAAAAAAAAAAAAAATCTCGAAAGACGGCAGTAGCAGAAAATGACACAGATGATGTGCTTGTGAATTCACTCAAAGCGCAGCATGACTCAAAAGGAAATTTTACTTTGAATTCCTAAGCAGAAGCTAACAAACCATAAGCTGATTTTCTTTCCAGCTACCCAAATAACACCCGTCACTCCTAGAAGCTCCTTGGGGCCCTGAGCAAGCAACTGGCATGTAAGGGAATATGCCTAAAAACTGGTCTAAGCTTGTCTGGATTTAGTTCTAAGATCCAGCACTTGTACTTTGGGGATAAACAACTTCAGGTTGCTCCTAATATTTCATGCTCTGAATCACACACATAGACACACACAAAATAAACCTTCTGCCCCCGTAGGAAAATCAGATTGCAGGAATGAGACTTCTGTCTTACAGTACCTCTGGTGCGTTATTTTTCTAGGTAGAGGAAGATAGGTAAGAAAAGAAAGACAAATGCAGCAAACAGGAGGTATTTAAAATAGTAGTGATATCTCAATGTAAGACTCTACTTCAACATAGAGCTACATTATTTTGTCCTTGAAGGAATGAGTTTGCAAATCCCATCATCTTGCTAGAAATCCCTGGCCTTGGGAGTTTGATTAGTGGCCCACTTTTTGCTGACTGTAGAATCACGAAGACTGGAAACGACCTTGGAGATCTTATAGTCTAACCCCTGTTCAAGGCAAGTCCTTGTTCCATCCTGGACAAATGTTTACGGAGCTTCTCCATCATCCAGGCCAGGGTTATCTCAAAGGTGCTTTTTCAAGAAGCAACTGGACTTTCTGTTTTTTTCTTTGGAGATGTTTCGCTTCTCCTCCAAGAAGCTTCTTCAGCTCTGGCTGGATGGTGGGGAATGAAAGTATTTATACTCCTTGCAGACAGCTGGTCATTTGCATCCTTTTAGAGGGTCATTGAGGCTACCTGGAGATTTGTTTGCATGGTGCAAATGGGCATGGAGACTTCTTGGAACTGTCCAACTGTGTGGTGGAGCTGTGCCTTCTGCAGGATGTTTTTGATCTGTGTCATCCCTACACATTGAGCACTGATGAAGGGACACAAGTGGCCTCAACAACCCTCTGAAAAGAATGCAAACGACCAGCTACCTGCAAGAAGTATAAAACTTTCCCTTCCCCACCATCCAGTCAGAGCTGAAGAAGCTTCTTGGAGGAGAAGTGAAAGGTCTTCAAAGAAAAACCAGTTGCCTCTTGAAAAAAGCACCTTTGGGGAATCCTGGACAAACGTTGTCCAATCTTTTCTTAAAAGTGATGGAGCAACTCCGGGAGGGAAGCTGTTCTACAGTTGTTCTGTCAAGCAATTTCTCCTTACTGGATCTCTTTCTTTAACAAGGTCCTACCCATCACATCCCGCTAGGTACCTGGCCCATTTCCAGTTTAATAAGCTGCTGTCTCTGCTAAGCTGCACAGCTCCTTCTTTTTGGTTCCATGTTTTCAAATCTCTGCCTTTTCTGCTGCTAGAGATTATGTAGCCTTTTGTTCTTTATCATTTTACTTTTGTCCAATTTCCCTGTACCTGCCAGGTGTTTTGTTTTTTTTTAATGTAGATTTAAGAAATGTTTAAAAGCTTTGTTCTCCTGTGCTCCTTTTGATCCACTGCCCAAAAGGACCGGCAGCGAAGGGACACAGGATGTAATGGCTACGCTTGAAACCAGAGAAAGATCTGCATTCTAACTAACATTCCTCCGTTCTCAGTGAACAAAACAAACTGCTAATCCTGTTCACGGGAGAATTATAAATAAAAGAGAGATAAAGTATCTGCCTCGAACACCAGGAGATCAGTTGGGTTGCTGAGATTTCCATAATCTTATTTTATCCTCCTTCAATAAATCTTACTAAACTTATTACTGGAAAAAGCCTTGCATTCCATCCTGGTATAACAAAATAACAAGAGCTGGAAGGGAGGTTGGAGGTCTTCAAGCAAGAGACCCTACACGGTCTCAGATAAAAAGGCTGTCCAATCTCTTCTTATAAAACTCCAGTGATGGGTGCACCCACAACTTCTGGAGTCGGGGTGCTGCTCCCTTCAGCTGCGGTGGGTTGTCCAGGAAGCTGTGCACACAGGCTGGAATTAATGTCCACATATTGTGCGCACAGGTGGTGGTGACCGAGAAGGCTCGCGGTCCAAGAAGATCCAAGTTGCATCAACTTGGAGACGTGTCCTTCATTAGCCGTGGTGACGCAGTGGTTAGAATGCGGTATTGCAGGCTAACTCACTGCCCACTGCCAGCAGTTTGATCTTGACTGGCTCATGGTTGACTCAGCCTTCCATCTTTCTGAGGTGGGTAAAATGAGGACCCAGATTGTTGGGGGCAACAGGCTGACTCTGTAAACCGCTTAGAGAAGGGTTTAAAAAGCCCTGCGGTATATAAGTCTAAGGGCTCTGGCTATTCTACTAATTTATTCAAATAGCTCTGAATAGGATCTACATCTTGCATGGCACCTGTTAAGACTGTTTAAATGGGACAGAACAGTGGTGGGATTCAGCCAGTTCACACCAGTTCAGGAGAATCGGTTGTTAACTTCTTGAGAAGTTTGGTGAACTGGTTGTTGGAACAAATCATTAGAGCAGAGAACCGGTTGTTAAATAAACCACTGGGGCAGAGGATCCTTCCCTGAATGTGAGTATGGTGCTCCTCGCCAAACACTGGATCCTGTAATGACTAGCTGCCATTTGAAAGCTTATAGAGAATGAAAATCTGATTTTCTCCAACTAACAAATACTGCATTTAACTGGATAAACAGCCTAGATACTAATATGTAGAACATTCCATTCTCATTTAACAACGCATTTTGAAATGCAACCTATAACTCAACATGGAGAATTATCTTCTCTTGCATTGTGAGTTTGTACTGTCAGTGATTCTATTATAAGTCTCCTGCACACAGCATCAGATCACAGCGTAGTTTTTTTGCTGGAGTGATTACCACAAAATAAGTGATGGGCCCTGCATTTTTGTGCCTGGGTGAGTCTTGTTGGTACATTAGCATTCAGAAAATGTAGGCAGCACATCAAGCCCCTAAGCTGGGGTTTCAAGATAATGGACAGGCAAGTTAAGAGGGCAACCTGCTTAATTCAGGGGCCTTCAAACTTGACAGCTTTAAGACTTGTGGACTTCAACTCCCAGAATTCCTCCTCCAGTCATGTTAGCTCAGGGATTCTAGGAATTGAAGTCCACAAGTCTTAAACTTGCCAAGTTTGAAGACCCTTGCGTTAATTCTTAGAATCTGTTCTACTGGAGAACATACATTACCTCTCTGCACAAAAATCATCCAGGCCTCCTCACCGCCATGATCACAGCACCCTTCGTCTTCCACAGATCCTTGGCTTTGAAGGTTCTCTGTTCTCCTTGAGGTCCAGGGAAGGAAAGATAAAAATTAAGCTTCTTTAAATCATGCTCACATCCTGGTAAACTCATGAAGAAGTCCTCATTGTTGTTTCAGCAGCCAAGATGGAAGTGACTGGATTCTACCTTCTACATGGACGCTTTCTCAACTTTCCAAGTTTGGTTGTTTTCCTGCAGACGTTTCTTTACCCAACTAGGTAACCATCATCCATGTTAGGACCCCGAACCCTACCTAGAAAACAACCAAGCTTAGAAAGCACCAAGGACCCCACCATTCAACCCTGAGCTACAAGTATTGGCTTCTATTGATAGCCTTTAACTCTGAGAATCTCCCATCCAGCTTCTAAGCAAGTCCAAGTCTACTTAGCTTTTCAAGATCAATCACCTTAAATCATGAAGACCTGATCTGCAGACAATTAATTCTGTTACCATCTATTGGGTCAGTTCGATGCCTTCTAGACAGCCATACTTCCCAGGAGTTATAATCCCAATATATTGAAGAGCAGCAAGTTGAAAAAAGTCTGTGCTATTTTAATCCCATTGAGATATGTTTTTCTCCTGAAGAGTGTTTTGGAAGAACACCTGGATTCTAAAATTCACCTATTTTTTTTCCAAACTAAGCCCCACCTTCTGAGCTCTCAAACTACAGAACCACAAAGGTGCTCTTTCAAGAGGAAACTGGACTTTCTTGTTTTTTTCTTTGAAGACATTTCGCTTCTCCTCCAAGAAGAGGAGCTGAAGAGGAGCTCTGAGCTGAAGAAGCAAAACGTCTTCCGAGAAAAACCAGAAAGTCCCAGTTGCCTCTTGAAAAAAAAAGCACCTTTGGGAAAACCATGACCTGGAGGACTGAGAATCACTACAGACTTGCAGAATTACAACTGGATCTCAAGAATACAAGAGGAAACCTCCACCCCTTTTTTCCCAACCACTGGTAAATTTCCATGTTTAATAATATTCTGTGTCTTCTTTCTGTTTAATTTTCAGTGTTAAGTTTATCTATTTCTGCACAATCTAATTTCTGCACAATCCCAATTATCTGGCTTCCCTGCCCGAGAAGCAGCTGAAATGCTGCCGGTGGAGGAATGTGTAGCACTCCAACCGCGGCAGTGCATGGGCAGAAGGGAAAGCAACAGCGGCGGAGGAAGCAATAGCGGCAGGCGCGATGCAAAGTGCCCCACCGCCACCGAGGCCGACATCCACACTGCCGCCCGCCCACTGACCCGGCCTGCACCCAGCACCATACCCGGGTCTGCAGCAAAGGCGCTTGGCGGGGGTAGGGAGCTCTCCGTGCTCCGCCATGATAGACTGTTAGGAGCGGCTGGTGGCGAGGCGTGGCTGCCCACGGGGTGCTCTGGGCGACGGGGGGGGGGGGGGGAGTCACTTCCGAAAAGACAGCCTAGCTGTTTTTTCAGGGGTCAAAAGAAAATAAAGCCCGGCCTTATTTTTTGACAAACACAGTATATATAATATACAGTATATACTTCGCTCATCGAGTTTTTCTGATATTATGCCTAATAAAAACAATTCAGGTTTAAAATCTACACGTTTTCCTATCATCTTTTCTAATCACTTGTGTATTTTTGCCCAAAATTTTCTTGCTTTAACACAAGGGGTGAAGATAAGAATGTAATCTCTATTGTTAAGCCAATTAAATACCCATGGCAACATGATGTTTATTAAGCACTAACACATGTAAACAACGGAAAATTAATAAAATTAATAATAAGAATATGTGGGGATGTGTTTTTGAACACATTCTTGTATTTTGAGTGGAAAGAAAATGTTTTCTGAAAAAAAAAAAAAACCCTCACATGTAAATGAAATGAAACGCTAGATAACTTTCCAAGTGAGGAAATGTTGCCACCTCTACATCTCTCTAGCAGAGTAAAATCTGAGATTTGCTTAGACCTTTATTCTCTCCGGGGGGAAAAAGAAAAGTAGATTTGTGACTCTGGTGCATTTCTATAATTTATAAAGTAACTAAACACAAGGACAGTTTCTTCCCCAACGCCATCACTCTGCTAAACAAATAATTCCCTCAACACTGTCCAACTATTTACTAAGTCTGCATTTCCATTAATCCACCCATCCCTCCTTTTACCCATCCCCTCCCACTTGTGACTATACTACTAACTGTGTTGCTTGTATCCTAATGATTTGTATTGACTGTTTCCTAGTACAATTGGATTGCTTATTGGTACCCTATGACTATCATTGTCATAAGGTTGTACCTTATGATTCTTGACGAAAATCTCTTTTCTTTTATGTGCACTGAAAGCTTATGCACCAAAGACACATTCCTTGTGTGTCCATTCATACTTGGCCAATAAAAAGTATTCTATTCTGTTCTGTTCTGTTCTGTTCTACTCTCTACTCTACTCTACTCTACTCTACTCTACTCTACTCTACTCTACTCTATTCGCAATTAGGAGCCTGAAGGATCTTCCTTCTAAGTCTTACCTTGGCCCAGAGTCTTCAGATCTATTTCTTCTAGGAACTCCGTGGAGGCCATTTCTGCTTTGGAGAGGAACAAATCCGTATTGGCCAGGATCATCCCCGTCACAGCAGCCCCGATGGCTCCTAGTCCGAGCGTCCACATTGCTACGGAGAGGTCAATCGGGAAAGACATCTCTAGAAAAGGAAGGACGGAGCGGTCACTCCAGCAGCCCAAAAGATTTTAAAATTTTGAAAAGGAAACGAAGACAAGCTGGAGGGAGGAGTGACTTCAACTGAATGTCTTCATTAATTAGGACGGGTTTTAAAAGTTTGGTATATGCGCTGAAAGGAAGGTTTAAGTCACTTTTGTATGTACAAAACAAGTGTGTAAATCAGGGGTGAGATTCAAAAATCCCAGCAACCGGGCAGAGAACCGGTTGACGGGTGGGCGTGGACATGGTGGACATGGCCTATTGGAACTTCCGGTTTGACTGTTTTTTGCCTTTCCCAGAATCCGGAGGCTTCCCTCAGGCCTCTGGGAAAATGAAAAATGGCCTCCCCTGGGCTCCGGAAGCCACAAACGGGTCTGTTTCTGAACTTCCAGAACTTCCAGTTCGGCCATTTTTTGCCTTCCCCAGAGTCCCGAGGCTTCCCTCGGGCCTCTGGGGGGGTGAAAATGGCCTCTCCTGGGCTCTGGAGGGCCTCTGGAAGCTGGAAACAAGCCCATTTCTGGACTTCCAGACCTTCCAGGATGGCCATTTTTCACCCTCCCCAAGCCTCTGCGCAGACCCTGCACTTACCTGCATCCAAAACGGGCCACCTGGAGACTCCTGGGAGGGGAGGGGCAGGGTGACCGGAGCCAGCCACTCAGTTCAACTACCAGTTTGGTGAACCAGGTGTAAATTTAACATCCTGTTCGCCCGAACCGGCTGAATCCCACCCCTGGAATAAATGCATGTCCTCTGTTTCTTTAAGTAATGCCGAATAATTTCCAAAGTCTGTAAAATACTATCCATTGGAATTGAAAAGAAGAGAAGAAAAAAAGTTCCACTGCATGAGGATAAACTCCAGGGAGAGATTCGAATGTTATGAGCTAAATGGACTTAACTGGACCTATAATTAGTAAAATACCCAAACTAAAAAAAAAGAGTTTTCTCCCTTTAGGATTATAAAAAAAAATGCTATATTATTCCCCACATGCAAAGAAAAGCAGAGATGGTCAAATTGGTTCTTTGATCCAAAGAAGAGAATATATACCTAACCCTTGTTTCTATTCTGAAATTGCTTCCGGATTTTGTTGCTTGCAGTATGGGAAAAAAACAAAACTGATTTTGCTTTCGTAAATTAGATAGGTTTGTTGCTACAGAAATGGCCTGTAGATTGTGTAAAAGCAAAAAGTTGTGGTTGTCATGTTGTTATCTTCTACTCAGCTAAAGAGAGTTGGAGGGCGGTGCCTTTTTTCCCCTTTTCTCCCTTTATCCTCTCTTTTTTCCCCTTTCTTGTTTTCACATCTTTTTTTTTCCTTTGTATTTTATACTTGGATAAACTATTTTTTTAAAAAAAAATCTAATTTTGAAAAGGGATTAAAAGAATGAATCTCTTCCAGGACATCTGGAAGGTAAATAAAAGTTTATGTTGAGTCAAACGCAGATCCTAGTGACCATAAGGGATATGTCCATGCAATGTTTTCTCAACAGAATTACTCATTCGATAACCAAATGATCTTACTTGCTTTGCTGCAAAAAAAAAAAAGAGACTGGAAATGCTTTCCACAGCAGAACTGGACACTGGGGCTCTCTTAAGTTTCTGCCTAGCGTGTAATTCAAAAAATTAAATCAAATTAAATCAAAAAATTAAAAACCCATCATCCCGTTTTCCTGAAATATAAATTATAATTATAAATATAAATTCCCTTGTCAAACGTTTGTGAGAGTGCTTAAACAGGGTGTTTTTTAAACAGCTTTGTTCATCTCATAATACTGCGTAATTGTGCATGTGTAATGGGAACAGGAAGACTATCATTAATCTGGAAAATTGCTTGATTGTGACATTAATCCATACTTTGTGCTACTAGCAAAGGGAAAGATGCAACAGTGCTCAAAGCGACTGATGTTGTGATGTTGTAGAGGTTGCACAGAAGTACACAACTGATAGGAAGATGTTTTGACATGCGCCCAGTGCCAAATCTGTCTTGCAATGTCTCCTGAATTGGCAACAGGAAGAACGGAAGTGAGATGATCAGATTAGCAGAGTTGGAAGGAACCTTGTAGGTCATCTAGTCCAACCCCTAGCCCAAGCAGGAGGCTCTACACCATTCCTGACAAGTGGCAATCCAATGTCTTCTGAAAGTCTCTTGAGTCAAGCTCAACTTTTGTTGAGCCTCCACGAAATTGTCATGACAAGAACATCAATGTGCGTGTCACAATGGAGAACATATATGGTCCCAAGGTTGAATTGTTGGGTCCTTATAATTTTCTGAGTTTCCTTCTGATTATATGTCACCTGGCCTGGATAAGCTTCGGAAGTTGTGGGAGCTTCATCCCTGGAGGCTTCCAAGAAGACACTGGACTGCCATTTGTCAGACACAATGTAAGGTCTCCTGCTTGGGCGTGGTGGGGGTTGGACTAGATGACCTACAAGGACCCTTCCAACACTGTTAATCTTTAATAATACTCTTAGCCAATACTAGTATTATGTGATCATTATCAATGATGTGTATATTATGATTGCCATTATGCTCATTGTCTTTTCGTTGTTTAAAACTGTACTCAGACAACACGCTCATCTTATAGATGTTGAGGTTTTTTATGTTTATTAAAGAAAAATGTATCAATGACATATATATTGAAAAAGAAAATAAAGTCTTTACATACATCATCCAGGGCATTTTGGGCACTGTGATAACTGTTGAACCTTCCCAGGGCTTCAGACCGCACTAAAGCAAAATATAAGCACTAGCTATACAGCTAGTCCTCAATGTACAATCATTTACCGAGCGACCGTTCGAAGTTGGGGAAAAAAAGAGAGACCTGATATCCAGTCCTTGCACTTATGACCACTGCAGCATCCTCGTGGTCACATTAAAATTCCGTTGCTTAGCAACGGGTACCATGGTAGGGAGGGGTGCCACATGGCCATCATTCGTGACCTTCCCCACTGACCTCCTACAAAGCTAAGCCAATGGGGGAGGGGATCTGCATTCACTTAACGACTGCGCAAACTGCAGTGATTTCTTTAACTGTGGCCTAAACAGGTTATAAAGTCAGACATCATTCACTCTACAACCGCCTCGCTTAGCAACAGAAATTCTGGTCCCAACTGCTGTCGTTAAATTGAGGACTGCCGATAATGGACTTTCCCTGCAAAAAAGCAGAAATCCCTTTTCTTCCTGTTATTTTCCTTGCAAGGGCATAGAATCCATGCCCTGTGATCACTTTTGACTTAAAAAAGAATAAAATAATCCAAATACAACGTCCATCACTTGCACCAAAAACTGAAAAAAAAAACAAACGCATTTTATCATTAGAATCTCTACCTTTCTTTAACAACAGCAAGCAAACTAAACCAGTATTAACCACTCCGTACCTCGTATCCCATTGCCTCAATTCTATTCTCTTGCATATATTCCATTCTATTGCATTGTGTGCTGCCCCAGCGTTAAGGCTTCGGCTTTGCAGGAATCCTTAACTCTTCTTCATAATTTCTGAATTATTTTGATTCCTTGAAGCCCGGGTGCTTTCGATGACAAATAGCCAGCGTCCCTTTTCTGGGGCTGTATAAAAATTCAGCCCAAGCAGTTTCCCCAATGAACAAAGAGGAAACATTCACCAAATTCAAATGAACAAAGAGGAAACATTCATCAATACAGCTCATCAGTCTGAAACCCACATTATGTATCTGATATTAACACAATTGGGAAAGTCCAGAAATATTTCACAAGAAGAGTTCTCCACTCCTCTACTCGTTGTAGAATACCTTATGCCACCAGAATTGAAATTCTAGACCTCGAAAACCTAGAACTACGCCGCCTTCGATCCGATCTAAGTATACTATATATAACCATACATGGCAATGTCCTACCTGCAAATGAATACTTCAGCTTCAACCATAACAACACAAGAGCACACAATAGATACAAACTCAAGGTTAATCGCACCAAACTTGATTGCAGGAAATACGACTTCAGCAACAGAGTGGTCAATGTCTGGAATATTCTACCTGACTCTGTGGTTTCTTCCCCAAACCCCCAAAAATTTAACCCTAGACTGTCTACTATTGACCTCACCCCTTTCCTAAGAGGTCTATAGGGGGGCATGCATAAGCGCACCAACATGCCTACCGTCCCTGTCCTATTGTCCCCATTTATTCGTATCTTGTTTCGCTTCATTTTATGTGTGTGTGTGTGTATGTGTGTGTGTATGTGTGTGTGTGGTATTCAGCTTTGTTCGGGTATTTTCCCACGTCATTGTAGTTGTGCTTTTAAAGTTGTAGCAATGTTTCGGCAGAATCTCATCTGCCATCATCAGGCTTCTGTATTGTGTTCGTCTGTGAGTCAGAAATATATAATTAAGAAAACAAATATATATATATACACACACACACACACATACATACATTCTTATATGTATCCATGTATTCATAACTATGTTTTTACTTATACCTATTATCTTGTAAGCAATTGACAAATAAAAATAAATAAATAAAATAAATAAATACATTTTGGGACAAGGCAGGGGTAACTCCACCTCCTTCCTTCTAGTATGAAACACGAGTGAGAAGTAGCATGGAATACATTGGAGGAAGCCAGGACGATCTTCGGAGTCTGGCTTCAATTCAATCAATAAGAATGCAGCTGGAAGGGACCTTCGAGGTCTTCTAGTCCAGCCCACTGCTCAAGCAGGAGACCCTATGCCATTTCAGACAGATGGTTGTCCAATCTCTTCTTAAAAACCTCCAGTGTTAAGAGTACCTACAACTTCTGGTGGCAAGCTGTTCCACTGGTTAATTGTCCTCACTGTTAGGAAGTTTCCCCTTAGTTGTAGGTTGCTTCTCTCCTTGAGTAGTTTCCACCCGTTGCTTCTTGCCCTGCCCTCAGGTGCTTTGCAGAATAGCTTGACCCCTTCCTTTTCTTTGGGGCAACCCCTCAAATATTATTTATAATAGTATTTGATACTGCTATTATATCCCCCAGTACC